ACTGGCTCTCCATTTGCCGAAAACTAAAGCTAGACCCATGTCTATCACCATGTACTAAATTAAAATCTCAATGGGTCAAAGATCTGAATATTAAAACAGAAACACTAAATCTATTGGAAGACAAAGTGGGTAGAAACCTTGGAGACATAGGAGTAGGTAGAGAATTCATGAACAGGACTCAAACCGCACGGGAAACACTTCCCAGAATCAATAACTGGGACCACATCTTATTAAAAAGTTTCTGCATGTCAAAAGAAATCTCCAGCATAGTGAAAAGAAAACCCACAAACTGGGAAAAGATTTTAGTGAACTCTCTCTCAGACAAGGGACTCTTGTCTAAAACATATAAAGAATTAAAAAAACTCAGACCTCCAAAATTCAAAGATCCAATCCAAAAATGGGCATCTGAGATGAATACGCAATTCTCAGATGAAGAAATGCAAATGGCAAATAAATATATGAAAACATGCTCATCATCATTGGTCATCAGAGAAATGCAAATTAAAACCACACTGAGATTCCATCTCACTCCTGAAAGAATGGCCAAGATCAAGAAAACCAACAACAACAAATGCTGGAGAGGATGTGGGGATAAAGGAACTCTCCTGCACTGTTGGTGGGAGTGTAGACTGGTACAGCCTTTGTGGAGGTCTGTCTGGAGGTTTCTCAAAAAGTTGGGATTGGAAATCCCATTTATTCCAGCTATTCCACTTCTAGGCATATTCCCAGAAGAACTGAAAGCATCATACCACAGTGATTTATGTGCACCCATGTTTATAGCAGCACAATTTGTAATCGCCAGATCTTGGAAACAACCCAAGTGTCCATCAACTGAGGAATGGATAAAAAAGTTGTGGTATTTCTATACAATGGAATATTATTCAGCTATAAAGAAGGATCACATTGAGATATTTATCAATAAATGGGCGCAGCTTGAGACCATACTCATAAGTGAAATAAATCAATCTCGCATGTATGAATACCGAATAGTTTCCCTAATGTAAGTAATGATTCAAATATATGAAAATATGTGGCAATCATGATTCCCCATTATGTGGCCTTGAAGCCTTATAAAATTTTCACTTATTAATTAGAAAGGCTTTATTCCGGGCTTCTTGATATGGAAATATTTGAAGCTATAGTATATGAAGTTTTATCCAAATATCTCAAGGAAAAAGACAGACACTATGGTAACTATTATTCTTTAAAAAAATTATTTAGTTATTTCTTATGTTTATTTTAATTAAGGGAAAAATTTAAAAAATTAGGATATATAATAGTAACTCTTTTCGATTTCCTATTAACTTGTTTTGAAGTCCTGTAATGCTCCCACGATCTTGTTTTGACTGATTAGACTCTGTTCCATTCTGTGGGATAGTATCAGGTCCGAGGGTATAGGCAACTACTTTGAAGGCAGTAAGATTCACTAAGATGCCCATTCTGGTTTGACTATTGTCTCCTTTGGAAGTCCTGTAATGTTTACAATGTCTAAGTTTTATTGGTCTTGTTCTCTACTGTTTTGTCCAACTTTATAATATCTAATGAGATAGACAAATCTTTTTAAGGAAACAAGAGACAATGTTGATAACTATTGTTAATAACCATATACTCTGTTCTACATCATGTGCTAAGTCTATCCTTGGTTTTCACTGACAGCTTTGTTCTGCCATATTTGACTTTATTCTCCCCCCCCCAAAAAGTAATAAGAACTAAGGAGTAATAAAATCTAAAATGTGTAAATTTTGTTGTAAAAAGAGAGGAAGGGGAAAAAAGAGCTCTAACGGATATAACAGCAAGTGTGTATAGGGATGTTGAATAGCTGACTATATTAATGTTTTTGGATCATTGAACACAGCTGTTTGTAGTCTCTCTGTTTGAATGTCTACTTTGTATTCTTTGATACTGTGATTTGAGCAACTATTTCCAAGATGATAATATGTAATCTATTAACAGGTGATTTCTTACTGTTATGCTTTTTTTTGTAGTTCTGTATTATATGTAACCTTACACTGCTTTGTTTTGTTTTGTGTTTTTCTCTTTTTCCTCTTAAATAAAAAAAAAAAAACAGACTTACACATTTCGTCAAGTGGACCACTTTATGGAACAGCTTTATGAACTGTATTACCTTTTTCTCTACCCTTGGAAATGAGTGAACACTGCCCTAGTGATGGAGCCCAGGCCATACAAGAGCTCCTTTCCTGGCAAACTGGCTTAGTGTTTAGTTCAGTGCTGCAAGAGAAGAAATATGCAAGGGTTTCACTCTGTCCCCTGGTTTCTTTAGTTACTTTGTTTCTCTGAATCTTTAAAAGTATCTGCTTCAGGTTTTATGCCTAGATTGTGTAACCTGAACAACTAGTTCTAAGATAACAATATTCAATATATTAATAGTGTTAATTTCCCACTAATTTTTTAAAAGTCTGGATCATTTCTATTCTTTCTTTTTCTGTTTTACTTTTTAAAATTAAAAAAAAAATTAAAATGTATGCTTCAGTAGTTGTCAATTTATTCATTCTTACTAGTCTCACCATAGGTGATTCTCTAACTTTGGTGCATTTTCTTCACCCCAGAAAGAAGTCCTTCCCCACGTACCATACCCATATTCCCCTCCAGCCCTTGACGTCTACCTCTTCCCATTTTGAATGGACCTAGTCCAGATATTTTGTATAAATGAAATCAAATCACATGTGGCTTTTGTGTGTGTGCTCTTCCGCTTATCATACTGTTTTTGAGGTTTATCTGTGTGGTTAAATGAATCAATATTCTCTCTTATGTGAGAATAATATTGCATTATTTGTATATACTGATTTTTCTGGTCAGTTAATAGATAGGTTTTTTCCTACATTACATGTAACACTGTTACGGATATTTATGTGGGATATGTATTTTCATTTCTGTTGGATGCATATCTAGAAATAGTAGTGCTGGCTTGAGTAACTGTTTAACCTTTTGAAGAATTGCCACTATCCTTTCCATATTCTGTGTCTTTATGCATTTGCCAGAGCAAGACTTGCGTGTTTCAGTTTCTCTTCTTCCTAGCTGACTCCTTTTACTAGCTTTGTTTTTAATTATGGCCATCTCAGCAGATGGGAAATAGTATTTCATAGTCATTGTTTCTTTGGTTCTTAACCTAATTAGCTTATGTAAAACTGAGCACTTTGAAAAATCAAACTCTTAGCTTCAATATAAAATAACAATATGCAATATATTCTGAAGGTGGTGGCCATTGTTAATTCCCTAATATCTTGATTCAAAGACCTGTATCATTGTCATTATTTTGTTTGATTGGGTTTTATTCTGTTTTATGTTGTTTGATTTTGTTGGGTCTGATGACATGGGCAGGTATTTCAAAGATAACAAGATATATTATGGTAGCCGTTTTGGATTTACTATTATCTTGTTTTGAAGTCTTGTATTGCATCCATTGTTTTGTTTTTATTGGTTCTATTATGTTTCTGTTTTGCTTGATTTTGCTATGTCTAAAGGTATGGGCAGCTATTTTGAAGACAATAACAGGCATTATGGTAACCATTGCTGATTTCCTATTACCTTGTGTTTGCCAGTTATACTGTCTTGTTTTGATTGGCTTTATTCTGCTTTATTTTACTTGGTTTTATCCTCTCTAAAATGAAATTTTACAAAATGAAGTAAAAATAATACTTGTAAATACTGCTAATTTTCTATATATATATATCAGTTCCTTTCCACTTCCAGTCTTTCAGTCTTGCATTTTGGTCAGTAATGTCATAACTACATAAAATCAACGCAGTCCTTTAATCAGTGGCAGCCTTAGCCGCTGATTAAAGTCTCTTATCTACATTTCACTTACCTTTCCACAAATGAAGATAAAAGATTGTCTGGGAGTACCCGCTATGTTGACTTAGTTTCTACTAGCTTTATTTCCACATAGTCACCTTTAACTCAATTCCATGTGTAAACGCCTTAAATTGTGAAAGCATTATGCTGAAATTCTTCTAGTACACAATATAGAAGAGCAAGACAAATGTATGTTTGTGTAAGGTTTTTTATTTAGTTGGAGCTGAACAAGATACCATCACATTTTGTTTCTGCTTATTTCAGAAAGGGAGACATTTCTCCTTTCCACAAAATGCATTTTGTTGTTGGACATGTTAAGGGATAATTTTATTGTATTGATTGGCATTCTCATAATAAGTCGCTACAAACTTGGGGAAAAAAATGTGAAAAGTTTTGACTTGAGAGGCGCTGATTATAGAACAATAAATGTGAATTTTGGCACTCACTCAGTATTTTTTTCATGTTTCTTTGAATTCCTCAGAACATTTTGGTTGCCTCACTTAGCAAATGATGGAGCTGGGCAAGAGAATGGTATGGTTTCGTCTTAGACTGAAACTCTCATTCTATGCTACACTGAGAATTTTTCAGTGTAATGGCAATAGTTTTTCTACTGCTTATTCCACATATTTATACATGAGACTTGATTATTTAGTAAACATATATTAAAGAAATTAAAAAGAAAGCCACTGAAATTAGGCAAAGCGAAAGCACACTGGTGGTTTGCTTTGGTTGTGCAGTAGATTTCTGCATGCACGGAATGGTCCTTCAAAAACATCTGGTGTGCCTGTGTTTGCTGATGGTGCCTTTGATTTGATTCCCAGGATAAGTTCTAGTGCCGTATTCACAGGCAAAGGGTCGCTAAAATGATGAATAGGCAACTTCTTCAACCTAAAAATGTTATGCTAATATCAGATTTTGGTCTTAGCCTTCAGAGATTGCTACCCAATGAATGATTGGTGTTTGAGAGGTTGTTCCACAAGAATAAAGATTGGGTAGAAAAGCAATTCCATTTCTCGGTTTTGTACTGTAGAATCTGTAGAAATGCTGACTGAAATCTTGTGTCATGCCCTCTCACTTGTTATTATCGGGGGACATGTTTTTCAGCCTGGTTAGATTTAAGCATCTGCTGATTCATGTTTGAATCTCAATCTCTCTCCCCTTCCTTCTCTCTCTCCTTTTTTCTGCAGGATGTTTTCACTCCAGAATGCAAATTTAAGGAATCTGTGTTTGAAAACTACTATGTGATCTACTCTTCCACGCTGTATCGCCAACAAGAATCAGGCCGAGCGTGGTTTCTGGGACTCAATAAAGAAGGTCAAATTATGAAGGGTAACAGAGTGAAGAAAACCAAGCCTTCATCACATTTTGTACCAAAACCTATTGAAGGTATGAAGCTAATCTCTTTTCCTCTTTGGACTCTGATGCCTGTGTTGATCCCAGCTCTGCTCCTTGACCTGCACTCTACAGGATTTGCCTAGAGTGCAACTGAACAGAACAAAGACTCAGAAACTACAATAGTACCTGTTCCTATTTTTAAAATTTTAAAAGACAGTTCTGCTACAAAAACTTCTTATGAAGTACCTGGCATATGGTACTTCAAAAACATATGCCTGGATATGGAAGCTAGAAAACTCCCAAAAGTAGGAAAATTCCTAAAAGTAGGAAAATAGCATTCATTTGGAACGTAATTTTCTTCTTTGTTGAGCACAATAATTTAATTTCTCAGTGTATATTTTTTAAAAATCAATAATTTCACTTCAGTACTTTGTAGTTTACAAAAGGTCTAAACCAATCTGACGACACAAATTTTTCTTTGCATTTTTAAAGAAAGAAAAGTGTATAGTATTATCTGTGATCAATAAATATTGGTAGAATTAAATTTACCCTTCTCAATTGAACTCAATTGAGCCTTCCCTAATTATCTCATATAGTGTTCACTTTTTTCAAACTGGGCACTCACATAAACTCATTTTTAGCAACTGCATTGTTCCTGAAAAATTCACTTAAATTTCATGACAGTAATTACCCACCAAGATGACCTCATTTACTGAATTCAGTAAAGTAAAGGCTAAATAATTAACCATGGTCTGAGTGTTTATCTCTGAAAGTCAGTTTACAGTCATTTGAAACACGGCCTCAACCTTCTCATCTGTGGAAATGAACAATTTGAGGTATTATATTGCAGCTCCGTGGCTTAGGTTTGCTGTCCTCTAAATATCTCATAACATGTGATCAAATGACCCATGTGCACAGTGCCTGCTGCAGTGTTCTGGGCACATGGCTGCGAGAGTCAGGAAACGTGGTTAAGTGGGGCAGGGAAACTAGAGGAGGAGAACAAAGGGGATTAAAATAAAAGAAAAATTATTTTACTTGCCTCTCCTGAAGATGACTATAAAATGTATGTACTGCAAACATGTACTAATAAAAAAGGCGGAATGTGGTTATTAAAAATCTTCGGAAAATTAAGAAAAGTATAGAAAATAGCTTTTATGGACAACACATTTCCTAGTGAGACTTTTCTACTTCTAACAAAAGGAAACAGCTTCAAACTGCCCTTCCAGTTACAGCTGCTTTTGTGTTTTGGGTAGTATTTCCTCATACATCTGGATGACCATGTGGGGATATACAAAAGAAATGTAGACAGTGGTTCAATTCTTAGTTCCATGATCACTTGAATTCTATGTTTCTTGTTATACTTTAATACACATGTGGAAAGAAACAGACTTCCCTGGATTCCAAACTGAAATTGGATTTACTTTTTCATAACATAAAACCTTTGTCAACAGTAGCTTAGTCACACAAATTCTCTCACAAACCTAATCTAAGCACCAGCTGTGCAGGGATGGTATAGTGGCACCCAGTTGTTAGGGACCTTTCCCACATCCAGCTTTCAGTGCCTCTCTCTCTAGTGTGTTGCTGTGGCTCTGATAGAACTGAGTATTGTACTGTTCGCACAAGTGGTGCTCATCCCCACAATCCAACCAACATTTGGAAAATCAGACAGTAGGGGAAGAAGGATGAAGGATTACATCAAATCTCTGTACCGGTTTTCTTTTTGAGATCATCCCAGTAGCTCTGACAGGATATGCACATCCCAGTGGTCACAACCTAGACAGGCATCACTCTTAGTGCAGGGAAGCTCCCCAGGGAGACTTTATTCTGCACACCAGCAGTCAGTGATCTGAGGACAATGGCAGACTGGGTTTGGGGCCACTAACAACTGTTTCTTTCTTGCATCTTTATGTTATAGTATCTCTGATTTCCCAGTTTCCTTATTTATGTCTATTAGTTTATTGTTTCGTTTTTTGTTATTTACTCTTGCTTTACAGTGGTTTTCTTATATTCTAAGAAAGAAATACTCTGTTGCAAATCAGATTACAAATACCTGGATTTAAAGGTTTCTTGATTAATTTGTGGGAATTAAAACTTAGTTGTGAATGTGTATCATGAGATTCACTTATAAAGCTGAAAACAAAGTAATTGACTTTAGTCCAAAAAATCATTTAATTCTCCACAATGTCCTTGGTATTTGTCTTAGAGAACAAAGTTCAATTGCTTGAACAGTATTAACTTTTCTGTATGCTTACTGTGTCTGAACTCTTTTAAGTGCTTCAACTTTTGTCTCATCTTTCATTCTATCTCTTTTTTCCCCCCACTAATTGTTTCATCTCTTCATTCCATTTCTGTGAGGCAGGTTTTAGTGTTGTCCCCATTAACACTTGCAGCAAGCGAGTTAAGCTTGGCCACATTAATTAATTCGTCATAAATCATGCCACCTGATAAGGGGCGGAGCCACAGTTCAAACCAAGGTACTCACCAAAGCCATCAAGTACTTAATCTGCATGAAGACTTGGTTTAAGTTGTAGCCTCCTTGGTATAAGAAGAAAGGCTGTGGATTTAACCTAAATATAAATTTTTCTCTAAATAAAAAAAGATAATAGAACCCTACTAAATTCTCCTGAATAAATGTCTACTAATTGTTTCTCTTTTTAGAAAATCAGGAATGTTCCTGGCACTTAGAAATAAAAGTTATTGTAGATTAACAGAGATCTTCATGCCCCTGTCATTTACTTATTACCCATGAAATTGGTCAGTTCTTTTATGCCTCATAGGTGCTTTGATGTCGTTACTGTGATATAAAATATTAACAATTATCCAGTGATTTTTCTGTGTAGTTGTAACTTGCTGTTACTATGAAATATATCAATTTTTGAAAACAAAAAGAGGCTAAAAGTGTTACAAAATTTAAAAAAGAAAATAGGAAATTAACGCTCTTTAATATATTGCATATTGTTATCTTCAAAGTAATTGTTCAGATTAAAAGATTTCAGCATGAAAAAGATGATCAAAAAATGAAAACATAAACTGTTCCCTTATGATGTGCTAACAGATTACTAGTATACTTATCTGTCTTGTGTGTGTATGTGTGTGTGTATGCACACGCATATACATATATTTCCTTTTTATTAGCCTATGTTTGCAGAACATGAGGATCATGTTCCTTGTGTGGGGTTAATGTGTGTACATAACACATCTTAACTTATCTCTCTTTCCCTACCCTCCACCTTCTTCCCTTGGTTCTCTTCCCTTTTGCAAAAGATATTTGCACCGCATGATTTTAGCAGTAGCACTCTGTAGCTGTCTGCATAAGCACTTTACTGTAAAACTGTGTTCTTTCATGCAGCCTATCATAACATTTACATATGAAAATAATCAAAATATGGCTTTGTATTAAATTATTGAATTAATGAAGGACAGTTCCCTAAACTGTTTCCATAAGGGGTAAAATGTGATTGAGTTATTTATTTAATATTTTGGAAGAATGGCTAGGATGGCAGGTATTCTAGCCAAAACTCATGTATTCAAAGAAAAGTTTTCATTACATTCTTTGAGTATGTCAGATATAAAGCATATAATTGAAAGCCAGAAAAACATTAAAAGTAATAGCTTTGTAAGAGGTTAGTCATGTTGCCACTTCAGCAGATTTTTTTACTTCCTTTTTAAAATAATTTATTTTATTAAAAAATTATAATAGTTAATACAGTATGGGTCATTATCTTCAAAAGATTTTTACAAAGGCATAGACAAAAGATTTTTACAAAGAAAATACAAGACACAGGCAAAAGATTTTTACAAAGAAAATACAAACAGATAATAGCACCAGAAGTTTTGATTATTTTATTTCCCACTTGTTTGTATTGTGTAGTTTTTGGAGACAGAGTCTCACTATGTATGTAGACTAGACTGTCCTTGAACTCATTACAGTTCTCCTGCCTCAGCCTCCCAAGTGCTGCGATCACAGGTGTGCACCAGCATGCCCACTTTTTATTCTTCACTTTTAATGGAATTGTGGTAAATCTGTTACCACCTTCACATAGTTCAGTCCCGCACGATAAATGTGCTTTTTAAGAAACTGGTCCTCAGTGAAGGAAAAGCCAAAGTAGTTTTTGTAATTGTTGTTTGGATTTGGAAGGCTTTTTTTGTTTTGTTTTGTTTTGTCTGTTTTTCAAGCATCTCTGTCCTTACCCAGTCCTGCTGACAATTTCATTTTAAATCTTAAAATCCCCCCCAAATTTAGCTCTATTAGCTTGAGGGTCAGTAAGTCCTACGCAGATAAGATGATAATAATTATCCTCAGTCTGTTTTTGCATTACTCCTTAACACCCTTCAGTGTGCAGGGAACAGGCTGTGTCAGTGAAGGCTGCAGGGACCTCTGCTGATATTTAAGCCCATTACCCTGTCCATTGCAAATTAGCCTCTGTGCACAAAGGGTCCCTCCCTTAGGAACTGAGACCACATCACAGGCTTCATGACTCCCAGCTCCGTCCTTTCAGAATATTGCTCACGTGACTGACAAGTATGTCCCCTGGTTTTAAACTGCCTTGCTGGGGGCCTCCTCCCTTAGCATCAGACACAGCAGCCAAACGCTCTTTGACAGAGACTAAGATGCAATCTCAGCCTGTGATTCTCACTCCTCCTTCAAGAAGCTCATTATTCAGCTCCTGCAGGTGGTTGATTATTCAGAATCAAGTTCCTGCTCACTGGAAGAAAAAAATAAATAAAACAAAGGAAAGGAAAAAGAAAAAACTTGTGTCTTCTTTCCAAAGACTTAAATTCCCAGAACTGGGTTTTGGAGAGCAAAAGTGATTTCCAAAATAAGGTGAATATTTATCAAATGAGATTTGTCTCTACAAAAATATTCAATTTAGAAGGCAGAAGCTATTAACTTGTTTCCACCAGTAACTGAGATCTTGTGTGTCCTTGATAGATACCAGGTATGTTCCCAATCCAGGTTTAGTGTGAGGAAGACTAACACACACACGGACACATGCAACACACACACGCAAGCACACAATCATTTTTGTAAGGCAGTTGCCTGTTATATA